AAAACTAATATATCGACGATAAAGAAATTAAACTAAAAAAGTAAAACATAAAATAAATCTACCTGAGGAGCAAACCTTTCCTGAAGCTGGTGTTTTTGGTTGGTTTCCAGTATAATCACATGTGCTTTGTAACGCCGATTTTCTAGACTTTCCAAACTGTTGCTCATTTCTGGACGAGCCAGCTACAGCTATAGCTGCAAACCGAGCTAGAGACCGGCGTAGCCAGCCAGTAAGACCCGAGGGAGACAGAGAAGAAACAGGGTCGGGCGAGAGGGAATGAGCAAAGTTGTGAGAATAGGACGCAAGTCCAGGGCTATGCTTTCCACTGACTTGAACAAGATGTATTTGACCTTCGCTTTTGTTACAACAAACCACATTAGCCATTGGGCAACTTATTCCATAGTCTAGTACCTTCTCTAATCGTTGATCAGGGCTTGTGTGGCAAATAGAATCTACGCTGAGACCTATTGCACTAGACACTGCCAATGCTGCAGGCGCAGGTGAAGTCGACGTCACAGTGAAGGGCCGCCGTCGACTAGGGCTCACTCGCCAGTGAAGTCGAGGACCGGCGTGAAATCTGCGTCTCGATAGCCAGCTTGTCTGACCGCCAGGAGACTGGTGCAGCGGGGGTGTGTGGCTCCCGAAAATGGAGTGACCGACATCCGCAATGGTGGCAGTTATCGGATAGTAACGTGGTGTGAAGTCAACTAGCGATAGCGAGTCGGCATGAGCGCCACGGGTGCAAAAATCCACTGAAATAATGTAAAAGTAAGCATATGCAAGCGCATTGACAAGTAAAAAAACACAAAAAATGTACCCTCCCATACGTTACTACTATTTTGGTTAAAATAAAAAATATCACTGGTTATGAAGCTCAAAGTTAAAATAGGAATCAATTGAAAATAAAATATTCAAAGCAATGTGGACAGGAGAGACGCAAGAAAAAACAAGTTTGTAATCACACATTCTTCAGCCAAGTTCCATAAAAACATAACAAGTCAACTGCATAGAAAGATATGATAACCTCTAAAACATAATACGTGAAAAGCTCTACTAAAAAAAATAATTTATGAATTTCACTACAGATTATCTACAATCTTATATTTTCAGTTTATTTGGGAAAAAAATGCAAAGTTAGAGTTGGATTGTAGAATGCTTCTTGACCTAGTGTTACAAGAATAAGTTTCAGCTTTTGATAATGTCCATCATATGACGGAGAAAAGCTCAGCACGAAACGAGAAAAGATGCCTCGTCAGGAAGTGCGCCAACCTGAACGCCGTGTTAAAGCCAAACGGCTGCTGTACAACGGGAATCAGTGGTCCTCTTCTGGTGGGATCGAACTTCGAATATCTTCATAATGCACTTTCATACGAAATGAGTCTCCTAAAGCACGAAAAGTCTGTGAGAACCAGGTGCAAAAATACCGATCCACCAACGTGTGAAAAAATATATACAAGCCAATATCAATGTAATACAGCATATATGCATATATATATATATATATATACACAAAAGTAAATATAAATATTAAATTTTGCTTAATATGAATACGGAAAAAGAGGAGCGTCAGTTAAAAATGAATCTCGTTTATTTTTTATTATTTGATTCTGAAAAGCCTATTATTGTTGTATCGTGAACAACATATATGGTCATATCTAAGATAATGCCTAGGAGAGAATTCTCGAAATATTGGAAAAGATTCACACATACTGCGCAGCATTAGTAATGTTTTAAAGTAACGCCTGATTCTTCAAAGCAATCATCAGAACATAAGAACTTAAACAGCCTAGGCTGTTTTAGGTAATGCAATGAGTAATAATGACATTTTTCCTACAGTGATATAAAAGTTATGCTGTGGAGACTTTTATTTTGTATAAAAGTACATGATCAAGAGGATCGTAGGTCGATCTCACCAGAAGATAACGGCTGATTCCATTTGTACTGTAGCCGTTTGGTTTTAATATGAAGTTCACGTTTACACACTCCACAATACATTCTCAATTGTTTCGAGTAAAAATAGGCTGAGCTTTCGTTTATCATATGACGAATATGATCTGAACTAGTATTCATTCTTGCGAAAGTCTGACGTCGAAACTGAACCAAGAAATAATACTTGATATAAAGATAGTCTTAACGGAAAAATATTGAGATATAGATTGATATAGAATGGTTTGGATAATCCTCTTATATTCGACAGATTAAATCGCCTAAAGCATAACGTTAGCCCCAGGTCATCAAGGCTTAATGACCCAATGAAAGGCATGATCGAGATCGCGCTAGCTCCTAAGTATCTCAATGTGAATTAATGAGATGTAAGCCTATAGACGTAATTCAGATGACGAAATAACTAATAATAACCCGTTAGTCTGGAATCAACAAGGTTTAATTATCTAAGGAGAAGCATGAACAGATTGCGAAATCTCGTACGTCTGTTTTGGTTGATGAGCTTAATATTTCCATTAAGCGAGTGTGAATTTGATCTGAGCCAACACTCAACTAATAAGTTAAGTAGCCTTCTTTTAGAGAGCGAGTCAGCATCCTTTGCTTCAATATTGCAATCAAGCGTGAGTACCTATTAATCAACTTTATACCACAGTGCCAAACATTCAACGTATTCCCAAATATATAAGGTAAAATAGCCTCTTACCTTGCGCTTGGTAGCAGACATATCACAATCAGCAAACCGCTGCGTCTGAAAACATTTTGTCTCATGTCCAGTCTCCGGCCTGTATCCTGCCACTCCTGTCAACCCAGAAGCCTTTGCAAACATTTTTATGTCCCACTAAGCTTGGGCGGATAGGGCGACAGTACTGGTTAATATAAGATCGGCCACAGGAGCACACAATCTCGCAACAGTTATAGTTCAATTATGTGTAATATTTCTCTTTACAAGATGGAAAAATCCTTTTAAAACTGATTTTATCTTCTACTTATATACTATTTCACCCAAAAAGAAGCACAATGGAAAGATTGGGAAATAACAAAAGGTCTTTATTTGTCTAAATTTGACAAAATAATCTCCATCTGAAAATATATTCTTCAATAAGATAATAATATCAACTGAGTCTAAAGGATAATTATTTACCAGGAATAAATGCTTATTCTCTCTTAACTCTTGGTCAGATGATTTCCATTCATTATTTCACTTATCGAAACCCGCTTTTTCTTCGTAAATATAAGGGCTTGATACCATTGCAGTTTTTTAAGCAGCTTCGATAAAGGTTCTCATCCAGTTGGACTGAAGTTTCTACCTAATCTAAGTCTCATCAGAACCCTCAAAATAATTAGATAACCAGGTCGTTAAAATCGTGGAAACGTTACCATTTCGCTGCACAGTCATGAGTACCAGTGAATCAGTGAATCAATGGGTGACATAATTAAAAATGTGCCAAGGGTAGATATTTATTACAGATTAAAGAGGCATTTGTACTGTGCTCCATAAATCCAAGAGTTATGAGAAGGCAAACATGAATTTACATCATTAGATTTCGTGGAGTAAGGACTTCATAATTCCTCCAGTTGTATTCCAAGCAAAGGATCATTAAAAAATTCCGGGTTCCTGATCAACAAATGCAAATAAATGTGCAAAACTCTTAATAAAGGATAAAAAAAGCACCATTTTTACCTCCTCACTTAATGTAGGTGTTAAATAAAGTGAATACGCCTAATTCATTCTTTGTGAAATATTAAGGCTATACATTTTTGGCGTAATTTAGCATTATAATGTCGGTTTCGTTCCTGGATTTTCATCTCTCTAAACGTATTCAACATTCAAAAACGTATTCTCTATTAATCTAATATTAATTTTAATAAGAACTAGAGGATAATTATTATCAGGAAATATTAGTCCGAACGATCCGATTTATTATCACAATAGTCTTTAACGACTACACTTAAGTTCCGTATAATCACAGATTTTATAATACATACTGCTATTTTAAAACTCCGGTTGGAGAAGAAAGTAAGGTTAAAGCCAATGTGTATAGGCTTCCTAAATATATCACTGCTTACTTACATACCTGCATTATCTTCATTGTGAAGAACAATGCAACATATCTGATTAATTAAGAAAAATAAATTATCTAAACTAGCTATACCATCAGAGGTATGAAGACCAAAGTGGCCTTTTGTATGGTCGCAGTCCCCTTTCGTTGTATAGAAGTTATTTTACCTAATTTTCGCAGCTTGGTCATATTGGTAGTAACACCTAGAACACACCTAGTCCATAGTATGCATAAGTTCCAGAGTCAGACCATGGACTTAGTATATTTCCAGACGCTTCGCCGGCATCGTCAGTGAGCCTTTCTAGTCCCAGCACAATACTACAACTCGTAAAAGAGACGAGTGAAGTGGATCCTAAGACCAATTGTCTGCTAAGCATTAGTGCTTTCTCTCCTGTCCTGAGCTATTCATTAATCCTTTATCCTCTTATCACACCTTCACTATCACAATTTATTAATTGCTTATTTAAATGTGGAACGGTGTGCCTTTTAGCGAATCTCATAACACCCCAAGCTTCACGCTGGCTTTCTCCTCCCCCCCCCGCAATCTTCTTCCGATAGGTCTTATCAGTTTCCCTCTTACTCCGTAGAATCTACCTCCCACCTTCCTGGTTCAGGTATTTCACTCAACACTGGCCACCCTATTTGTACTAGTCGAAGCGCTATTTCCTACACTGTATCAAGTCTTTGATGGTACTCAAATTGACACCTCGCTGGGTAGGCCCCTCTTGTGTTTAAACCCACAAAATACTAGGGCATAGGTCATAGACTTGGCACTATGGATAGAAGCACGATAGATAAGGCAGAATTGAGTTAGTTGTCTAATAGTAAATGTGTTTTATCATAGACGTGGTCCACGAAGCAAAGGCTTGACCATGAGAATTACTCAGGCTCTTAAACTTCATTTTAGTCTTTCATCCAGCTTGAAAATCCTGATTTTTAGGAGGGCTACCCAGCGAGGTGGCAATTAGAGTGCCATCAAAGGCTTGATATAGTGTAGGAAATAGCGCTTCAATTAGTATAGATAGTGGTAGGCGTTAAGTAAATTACCTGAACCAGGAAGGTGGGAGGTAGATAATACGGAGCAAGAGGGAGATTGATAAGACCTATCGGAAGAGGATTGCAGTATTTTTGTGTTCCTCTAATCTTTATCGAATAGGTCGGCATGTCTCACCAACATAAGATCGGCAATTGGAGTAAACAATCTCGACAATGGGTCATATTTATCTCTAAAAGATGGCATAACAGGTGTGAGGGTTTCTTTAAACATTGTTTTTATCCTACACTTTCTTACTAATTCGCCTATCTTCTTTTAAAGAAGGCATGACGGAAAAATAAGGACATGAGAAAAAGTTTCAGCTTGTCTATTTTTGACTAAATGGTCTTCGTCTGAAAATTTATTCATCAGTAATGAGCTATTATTAACAATTAGGCCCAATGGATAATTATTTTCCAGTAACTCATTTTTCAGCCCTTCAACTCTTTAGTCAGATGGTTGCTATTCGCAAGCCTCATACTTTTAATAATAATTGCTTGCTTGTAATTATGGTTGAAAAGATGATTATGAAAAGAGCCAATATACATTGGCTTCCTAACCTACCCTTTGCTCTAATGATAACATCCAAAATGGGTAAGGACCCCTTTTCTTATATTTCCATCGTGAACCTCATCTTTATTTCGCACTGGCTAAGTTAAAGTAGGAAACTATCTAAGCTTTCCTTATTATGAGGCCAGATCACAAAATAGTCATCCATGTATCTAGCCAACAATTTAGGGACTAGTATTGCCTGTACGAAAAATTATTCATCAAGTTTAGCCATATAA